GTTGTTTGTTGTTGCTTTCTGTGTGTGCCCAGCTCACTGGCAATATTAGTTTGAATGGGGAAAATCATTTTTTGTTTTCAGAGCTTTTTACTCTGGAGGATCCTGACATCGGTTGCTGATATATTAACCAAAATTGCTACTGTTGTACTGGGAATAACAGCAGAGGTGATGGTTGCGTCCAGTAGCTGGTAAACACAAAGACATGACATGATCTACTGAAAGCTGATAGACAAAAAGGACTTTTTAGCACTCCCAGCCCTTGTTTGGGTCTTTCTAAGGGTGTAGACAGACTGCAGCCTTGCTACTAATTGGCCAGATGACAGCATGGAGCAGAGCACTCTCCACAATGGACATTTTTCAAAATGTATTGTCAAATGAGAAAGACATAATGCAGGATAGTTGGATTTAATTTTTATGAGGAAGAATTAGTGAAACAGATACACTACACTTTTTTAAAAAGGTTTTTTTTTCTTTGAGCTTGCTTTTATATGAAGGTATTGCCTAGAAAGAATGACTGAGGCAGGAAAACAAGATTAGTAATATGAGATGGACCAGGAAGGATATGAAAAGGATAGAAGATGCAGTGCTGCTAAGTTGAAAACTCTCTGAGAATAGGAGGACACCCTTTTTTGTCTCAATGCACAAAATTAAGCACAATGTTTTTGTTGGACCAATGCCTAAAGAATGTGAGAAGACATATGATTCACTGAAGTACATTAGTCAGGCAAACTTATTTTGAAGACTTCCATGTAGATATGATGACTGTAATTGTAAGAGAATACTGTCTGGATTGTTTAAGATATTTCATCTTTCTCATTTTACACATTGCAATTTACTTGGTAATATGATGTCCTTATGGTAACTGTGGTACAATATTGCACTTAAGCAGAGAAAATACAGCTGAGTTTTGACACTATGGCTGTTATTTCTAAGTGCTCACACCTGCATGTAGAATTTTTTTATTCTTTTATGGTATGTATATGTGTGTTTATCACATACATATACACACAATAAATGTTTATATTGACAAACACATTTTTATGTTCTGACTTGTACTGCTCAAATAGGCAGGACTTAATTACAAGTAACCTTGAAAAGTGATTTCCTATTTAAACATGTTGCTGTTTCCTTGAAGTAATTCTCATAGACCAAAGTTTGTCTACATGTAATTTAAGGATCCTTGATTTTTTAGCTTCAGATATGAAGTAATAATCTACTTTTTACTGTCTTGTTAGACATCTTTTTCAAGAATGGATATAGTTTCTTAAAGTTCACTGTGATGTTTCATCAGCAATATTTGACGTATTTCTCATGCTTCATCACTGACTGGGTAACATGTTAGCTGACAGTGATTTATCTTCACAGTGCTAGGGTTAGTTCTGTGTATCAAACATGGAAACTCTTATGTGAGAAGCAAACTTGGAAACTATGATGAAAGAAGAAAGTAAGCCCTTTCTTAAGGTATTCTTCTAATCTGTTCTTTTGTAATCATAAAAAGAAACAGAATTTAATATTAGAGGGCTCTTCAGATAGCTGACTGACTGGTTACAAAGTGTTCTCTAGTAATAGGGAATTTTTCCTTTAGGATGGTCCTGAATCGCTTTCATTTGAGAGAACATCTGATTTTAGATCAAACAGTTGTTTCTCAAAGGGGACTGGCTTCCATCAAGATGAGCAATTATAAAAGTCAGTACCCCTTTACAAAACATGGAAAGGGAAATCCTCTCTTGATTCCCTTTGGCTTCTGTAGATGTAGGGTTTCACCTGTAACCTCTGTTCATAATTTGTCTAGCACAACTTCTAGCACAAATTGGTAAGGTAATATATAGACATGTATATTATCTTCTTGGTTTTTGCAACTGTTGAACTCTGAAGTATTCCAGAAGTAGACCTCTTCTCACGTTTCTGAAGGGGTACAGTCTCTTCACTCAGTCAAACATCATGGCTGGCACCAAAAAGTAGGACTAATTTGTCTTTCACTCTTCTGTTCTCTTTCAATATTTCTTAATTCTGCATGAAATTTGGGAATAATTGCATTTTATGATCTGTCTTATTTTCGTATCTAACCTACAAGTAAATACCATTTAAGTAAAGAGTTTTATAAGCTACAAGTAAATGCCATTTAAGCAGTGAGGATTATTTTAGTTCTCTTATGGCTGCAAGAAATGATTCAGCGAGGTACCATATTTTATGTTGCTGTGCTGAAAAAGATATTTGTGGATATTTTTCCATTCCCTCCATCATCTTACTCTTGCAAGGAAAGATAATGACAGACTTTTTTTTTTTTAGGGTTCCATTCAGTTGTAAAAGTTCAGTATAAGCTAATTTGGAGCTGGTTAAATGCTTAGGAGCAATCTGTCTGCTCTCACATAGAAGTACCATTAACGTGCCAGCTACAGTTATATTGAAATAAGCTCAGATGGCTTCATGTCCCCACAGAGGATGGAGATTTAAACTTTGAAATAAAAAAGGCATAAAGATCTTCTTTAAGTAGAGGCTGGGTAAACTAGCAGCACTTTGTGGGAAGTGAGTAATGGACAACTCTGCGTAACAGCCATTGTACTTGTAAATTTGAGCAATGTGTTTCTACTTTGGAGCAATTTCATTCATATATTTCACAACACTGAAAAGGTCACCAAGTGCTACTTAGGGCCTCATTGTAAATTTCATATGCATCCAACACTCTGCTTTAGAGGCTTGTGGAGCTGTAGCTGTGAGAATTCAGAGGGAAGAAAACTATGCATACAGGAGATGTAAACCTGGGGTGCTCCGCCAACAGTTCTGTGAAGAAAGTTGAGCTGTGTATGAAACTAATATTGACATTCATAATTCAGTATTAAGGACCATGTTCTGACTACCTTTCTGATATTTGAAGAATGACAGTATTAGTTAGGGAAAACAAGTGCAGCCAGAATCTGGAGCTGACTGATAATTAAATTTGACTAGAAACTGTAAAAATAGTTGACATGATAGTGACATGAGGATTTGCTGTATAATGTCATTTTTAATGCATCATCGTAACTTGACACTGGTTGTTCAATTTAACAATAATTAACATCTCTTGACTGTTTGTATTTGGCTTATGGTATGTCTCAATGTTATGTGTTGGGAATTGTAAAAGGTGCATGATTGTGCTGTTTCTGTTCAAGATGTTTCTAATTAATAACTTCACTGTCCAGTGTTCTTTCAATAAGGGTACCTAATACAATATTTACATTATTTTAGGTGTAGAGAAACTGGCTTTTCAACCAAACTGAATGATGCATCTCAATATATAACAAGAGTGTATGCATGTGTGTGTATATCTATGTATGTATACACATACACATATATGTGTTTATTGGTTTAGACACTTCTTTCCTACTCATCTTGAGCTTCTCAAATCTCAGGCATCTGGAAGGAATCATGGCTTTTCATGAAAGCTGAAAGTCGTAAATCTCGAGATAAATTAATATACAATCTTATTGTGATATTCACTACAACTTCGTCTGTCCCCAAAATTCAGCATATTAAATAACATTGAATAAAGGTCAGATGAATATGACAGATAATGCAGGGTTCTTCTACCTGCATGAGTGGCTTAGTGAGTCAAGTGACTGTGTCATATTATCCCTTTGATCCTTTGAGTTTGTAGCCACTAAATTACATACGTGGTTTTTTTCTTCTTCTGATTCCACAATAGAAAACGTTTACCTTTCTTTAATGTTCTAAGTATCTGCTATTGTTTCATGCCTGAAACAAAACACTGACCTTTGTGGGTCCATGGGCTGACCCAATATAGTTGCTTTTCATTTGTTCAATTCTGTAGTAGCTAAATTTTGGCTGTTTTTCTAGAGTCTTAATAATTTCTCTTTCAAGTAAAAAAGGAGTTGCTTCCAATAAAGTTTGAAGTTCAGCAATAAAAATATAAGGAATCTTCCAGGTTGTTAGCTTAACAGGAAGACTATCTTTCTTATAAGAGTTTAAATAATTAGATAAGAAATACACTCTGAATATTCATAATAATTCCAGTGGTTTTTTTGTATAAGTTTTAATCTTATACTTCAAATACTATTTTAAAAATATATTTGCAACATAAAATAAATGAAGAAAAGTTGGTATTAATTCTTAGAATAATAAAGATACTTTCAGTGTAATACATAAATCTTAATAGCAATGCACATACAAATCTATTTTAGCTTAACGATGTCAAGTAGCCAAAATATATATATATATACACACACACATATATATATATATATTTGGGACTGTGACAGGACTTGTGTGAGCTTTCTTCTTTGCAAGGATGCTCCTGGCTTTGAATTTCAAACACTACCTTTTGTAGCAAGTGGACAAAAGTAATCCTTTTTTTTTTTTTTTTTTTTTTTTTAAAAACCCCAATAATTTGAAAAAATTTTTTTAAGAAAGCCAGCTAATTGCACGTCTGCCTCACATTCAGTTAAATCTTTGGTGATGGGCTTTGAAGAGAGTGTTTTATGTTTTGCTTTCTTTTGTTTGGGCATTGGTTTTGGTTTGGGGGTTTTTTGGTTTGTTTTTTACTGACAGTCTTTGCTGAGAGGTTCCAGATACCACTATTAAAAGTAAACTGTTCTTTGCAGGAAGCTTTGACAAAATCTATAGTTTGAAGTAGAAACTGGAAAAATGCAAAGCTACTGGGAGGAGAGTGCCTTCCTTCCTGTGGCCTAAGAATTATTATTATTTTTAATGCAAAAGCAAACAAAGTCTCTAATGGTAGCACGGTAGACTAAAACAACCTTATTTTCGTCTGAAAGTAATATACTGTTATACAGTAATACACTGTATTTATTGAATTGGGGTTGCTTGAGTATTTTTTCCATTGTTTTCCAAGCATCATTCTAAATATAATTTTCTGTTTGGTCACTACTTGGATAATGTGAATGGTACCCATTATTGAAAGGTAGTCTGTATTTGTACTAATACAGAGAATGCCAGTTTAGAAATGAGCCTGATTGCATGGTTCATTTTGTTCTCCTTTGTAGAGCCAGGCTGCGGCCCACTACAAAGGCACTAAACATGCCAAGAAGCTCAAAGCACTGGAAGCCATGAAAAATAAGCAGAAATCTGTTACTACCAAGGACAGCGCAAAGACTACCTTCACTTCCATCACTACCAATACCATCAATACCAGCTCTGACAAAACAGGTTAAGCAACAATCTTTGTTGGTTTTGTTCGTTTTGTTTTTTTTCTTGTTTAATTCCATGTCTGTTTGGTTATGTGCTTGCCACATTGATTCATGCTCGATCCATCTTTCTGTGTGATATTGATTTCTTTTAGTCCTTTCAGTAGGCTGGTGAGAGTATGATAGTCATGTAACCGATTTAGTGAAAAGAGGCTTGCCATTCTTTTAGGACAGAATGCAATACTCATGACTTGATTAATTTTTATAGTGGCTTAACTATTACATATCAACTGATCTAAACCTTCTAGTATGTATGCAGTATCTCTCTAAAAATAATTACATATGGCACATTTCTTTTAACCACAAACAATGTAGCAAATTGCACTACTTGTGTCTAGAAGCCTCTTACAAAAGCATTGTTAGTAAAAACCTAATTTTCATAAATTTCAAACATTGCATTAATTTTTTAAAATGGCTATTGCATGATTTTGAGCTGGAAAATAGCTGTATAACCTCTATTCCACACAATCAGGTAAGTGCTATTGATGCCAATTATTCTGCTTAAATGAGTCTTCGGACTGAAATAATATCCTTTAAATTATTGTATGGGTAAAAGGTACACCTTTGCAAATAAAGTCTATGTATTTGGTAAAGTCAACAGGGTTTGATTAAGCTCGTATTTTAAATATGTGGCTGTTGTACCGGAAATTTTGAAGGAAGGTTGTAAGTTCACTGAAGGGTAGTCTAGTACCTCACAAAGTAAGACTGCTCTTGTCTATGAAGGGATACAGTTTGCATATTTAATCATAATCAACCCCCCTTCCACAAACAAACCAAAACCAGCCATGGCAAAAAAGCCAAAGCTGTGAAACAACAGAGACCTTTCTACTGATGCCGAAAACTGCACATTTGGAACCACTTCTGAAGCAGTAAGTTTAGCATTGTAAATGGATGTGCACTAACCAATTATAGTATAACAAAACAAAGTACCTTGCAGGCATGTGTAGTACTTTCCTTAAGATACATCTTTGCTATATTTGTTGTAGACAGATACCTCTATGTCTATCTTTATATATATATACATATATCTTTGTTATAGCCCTTTATTGTAGACAGCATATGTTTTTATGGGTATTTATATCCTAATTATAATGGGATTGCTTTAAAAAACATTACATTGTTTCCATGTTTGTTACCAAAAGAAAAAAAGACAGAAAGAAAATATTCCAAGTACTTTTGTTTCTATGATGAAAGAAATGAAGCATGGGAGAATAGGAACAATGTCAAAAATTATTTACAAAAAAAAATATGTGTTTCTGAACCTACTGATACCTTTAAAAGTTTCTCCTGCTGTTATCTAGTGCCATGTTCAGAACTGAAAGGGAGATGTTATATGGAAAGAGTATTACAAAATATGATCTAGTGATTGGAGAAAATAACTGAAAAAAAAAGGAGATCTTTTAAGCTTTAAAATGTATTAGGCAAAAGCTTTTATCTTATGCTATGTAAGTTTGAAGGATTTTCCAAGGTGCCCTAAAACCAGTCTGAGTCTTTCCATCAGGCTTTGAATTAGATCCCTGACAAGATATATGAACTGCCTTGTATCCAAGGTCGGTAGTACAAATCAGTTTTTATATCAGCATAAGAAAACATCAGAAATCCAGTTGCACACAAAAACTATGCAGGAGTTTCCTCAGCTTTACACACTGTTTGTGACTTCCTGGATTGATTTCATAGAATGTGTGTATACATATATGTATGTACCTGTATACATATATATATTCTATGTTAGAAGTAATGACCTTAATGGCATTCTAAAGACACGTATTGATGTTAATTGACAAGCAGCCCAAAATCTGACAATGTCACAAAATACTGAGAGCCATATTCAACTGCTGCAAAAGCCCTATTCAACCGGTGGCATTCAGAAAAGAAAGGCGACCAGTTCTATCCGAATGCAAATACAGTCATTACAGGTCAGCATTGATGTGTAGAATAGCATCCTTGGTGTAAATTATCCTTTGTAGAATCAAGCATGTATGCGTAGTGGGAGAAAAAAAAAAAAAAAAAAAGAAGAAAATTTTGGCTAGCCAAAAGGATAAAATTTTCTGTTAAACATGACAAATTAAAAATGTCATAAATTGGATTTTCTTTCCTTTCCAGTTTTTCTGTGTGTTATATTTTCTTGGTATAACTTTTAAGGGCAAAATGATTTCTGAAAGCCAGAATAACATCGGAATATACTGCACTGTGTGAGTTTGCACATTCGTAAATGATTGCTGTAAAAGTAAAATATTCTGATAATAGTATGCAGTTCTGAGAGAATAGTTGTACTAATGAATATAATTTATTAATTAATCTTTTGTAATTAGAAGTAAGTTCTGTTACTAAGTCCTTGCACTTGTGATCATTAGGAAAAAAAGCTTTTTCTACAGTATTTTAAAGCTCACTGCTGAAGATTAATACTTGATCCCAAATACACTGAGGATAGGGTCATGTTCGTATCACCTCCAATATATCATGTACAGCAGTGGTTAAATGGTGAATTACATGTCAGTCACAGCACATTGGTCAGAACCTCAGTTCACTGGTTCTGCATACCCTTAGCAGCCCCAGCAAACAAAATGTCACCAGGAAATCTGCAGTGCTATGCAATGACGATTATGAAAAAGACCACACAGTATACAAACTGATTCAAGAGCTAAAGCAGCAATTTGTTATGTTGCTTATTCCGGAACTATTTTGTTAGACGTGGTGCCAGCATGTGTTATTGCAATACATAATGGAGACTGTGCAACACACAATGTAAGCAAACTCCTTAAAACCTTTCATAAATGATTCCTGGTGGTTAAAATAGGTGTTAAGGAGAAAACATAAAATATGGGGTCATTTTGGTCATTCTGTGAAAGTCGCTTTGGTTTTTTCATCCCTTTAAACAAACTTTTAGAATTATGAGAAGGCTTGAACTTGAGAAATCTCTTTTGGGGAAATGAAATATGAAGAGTTATGTTGACAGTCTTATAATGGACAATGCCATTCTGAACATGTGGGAACATTGTTACTAGTTCTATAATTTAACATCTTTCATCTCTATTTACCATTTGTTATGTGATACTTGTAGTCACTCAGGACAGAAAAACAGAAAGTGTGACCATTCCAAAGACCAGTCCACTTTATGGTATTATATAAGCTAGATTTCAGTATTTCTCGATCCTCCAATTCAAGGAGTGACAAAAAAAATTTGTATTTTCACCATATATTAACATACATGCATATATATTCCCTGACATAAAGTTGTTAAATGTCCTTGATAGCTTTACAACTTCACCCTCCTTTCCCAAGGAGCATCTTCATAAAGATGCTTCACACCTTCACTTTGGCTGTAAGGACAGATATTACAGGAAGATGTTTCAGAATATATTTAGAGAGACTGTGTTCTGTCATCTTAACTATATGTCCTGTCCAGTAAAGTCATTATCCCACACTTGGATTTTTTGAATCTAGTGTGAGTGTCCAAGATTATATCCATGTAAAATGATATACCTATAGTTGTTGCATGTTTAAATATTTTCCAAAGGTATTTGAAGTTAAAAAAGGACCCTCCGTGACCACATTATCACAAATTTGATCAATCACATGATCAATCACATGACTTAATTGTGGCCTTCCACTACCTAAAAGGGGCCTACAGGAAAGATGGTGAGGGACTGTTTATCAGGGAGTGTAGTAACAGGACAAGGGGTAATGGGTTTAAGCTGAAGGAGGGTCAATTTAGATTAGATGTTAGAGAGAAATTCTTTACTGTGAGGATGGTGAGGCACTGGAACAGGTTGCCCAAAGAGGTTGTGGATGCCCCATCCCTGGAGGTGTTCAAGACCAGGTTGGATGGGGCTTTGGGCAGCCTGGTCTAGTGGAGGGTGTCCCTGCCCATGGCAGGGGCGTTGGAACTACGTGATCTTTGAGGTCCCTTCCAACCCAAACCGTTCTATGATTCTGTGAATTAGGTCTTGAAGATTTGGGCTATTTTTGTTTATTTACTCCGCAGAGAATTCAGCATGAGTTAGAACATTTGTTATCAGCTGAGAAGAACGAATAGTCCTTTCCAGGGGGGGAAAACATGTCACCGGGAGCCATCACTATGGCAAAGTCTTTAATGTTGCTTTTGAATTTTATGCACTGTGTCTTAAATCTTATGTACTCAAATGCAATGAACAGCTCTTAAAACCAGAGAAAAATGTGATGAACAGAAAAAGTGTGTATCTGGGCCAAGGCACAGACAAGATCATCTATCATTAGTACAGTCTTAACAGCTAAGAGACCCCCGTGCTGTCAGAAAACTAAATACTGGCGCCTGTCCTAAAGAGCTTCCAGTCTACACATAAGATGAGAGATGACTTAGGGAGATAGACCCTGTTAATGTAATTGGCAGGTGTTTTAAAAGAGCAGTAGCACAAACATGTTCAAGTGATAAAGGTAACACAAGAAATAAGAACACTGAAGGATGGATTAGAAGGAAGAAGAGGGTTTTTTTCCAGATGCTGAAGGTACGTGTGGGTAACCGCATGTGAGAAAGCATAAATTCTTTTATTTTTCTTTCACTGTCACATATGAAAATTCTTCTTGTATTGTAATTCTTCTTTTTCTTGTATTTAAGTCCAATCTCCTGTACTTCAGTGTGTGCCTGTTGTGCTGTATCCTGTTGCTGGGCACCACTGAAAAGAGGTTCTGGCCCTGTCCTTTTTCTTCCCTGCCCTGTCAGGTATTTAGACACATTTATAGGATCCCGTTGAGCCTTCTCTGCTCCAGTCTGGACCGTTCCAGCTCTCTCAGCCTCAACTCGAACAACAGATCCTCCAGCACCTTAATCACCTTTGTGGGCCTTTGGTGCACTCCAATATGTCTGTGTCTCTCATGTACTTGGGAGCCCAGAACTGGACCCAGAACTGGACCCAGCACTGCAGTTGTCTCACCAGTGCTGAGTAGATGGGAAGGATCCACCTCCCTTTTGCCAATGCAGCCCAG